GTATTGTGTTTATGTTGATGTGTTGTGTTCTGCATCACTGTAAGTGTTGTGTTCTGCATCACTGTAAGTGTTGTGTTCTGCATCACTGTAAGTGTTGTGTTCTGCATCACTGTAAGTGTTGTTTAACTGTGTTTGTGTTCTGCATCACTGTTAAGTGTTGTGTTCTGCATCACTGTAAGTGTGTTGTGTTCTGCATCACTGTAAGTGTTGTGTTCTGCATCACTGTAAGTGTTGTGTTCTGCATCACTGTAAGTGTTGTGTTCTGCATCACTGTAAGTGTTGTGTTTCTGCATCACTGTAAGTGTTGTGTTCTGCATCACTGTAAGTGTTGTGTTCTGCATCACTGTAAGTGTTGTGTTCTGGCATCACTGTAAGTGTTGTGTTCTGCATCACTGTAAGTGTTGTGTTCTGCATCACTGTAAGTGTTGTGTTCTGCATCACTGTAAGTGTTTGTGTTCTGCATCACTGTAAGTGTTGTGTTCTGCATCACTGTAAGTGTTGTGTTCTGAAATCACTGTAAGTGTTGTGTTCTGCATCACTGTAAGTGTGTGTGTTTCTGCATCACTGTAAGTGTTGTGTTCTGCATCACTGTAAGTGTTGTGTTCTGCATCACTGTAAGTGTTGTGTTCTGCATCACTGTAAGTGTTGTGTTCTGCATCACTGAAATAAGTGTTGTGTTTCTGCATCACTGTAAGTGTTGTGTTCTGCATCACTGTAAGTGTTGTGTTCGCATCACTGTAAGTGTTGTGTTCTGCATCACTGTAAGTGTTGTGTTCTGCATCACTGTAAGTGTTGTGTTCTGCATCACTGTAAGTGTTGTGTTCTGCATCACTGTAAGTGTTGTGTTCTGCATCACTGTAAGTGTTGTGTTCTGCATCACTGTAAGTGTTGTGTTCTGCATCACTGTAAGTGTTGTGTTCTGCATCACTGTAAGTGTTGTGTTCTGCATCACTAAGTGTTGTGTTCTGCATCACTGTAAGTGTTGTTTCTGCTCACTGTAAGTGTTGTGTTCTGCATCACTGTAAGTGTTGTATTCTGCATCACTGTAAGTTGTTGTGTTCTGCATCACTGTAAGTGTTGTGTTCTGCATCACTGTAAGTGTTGTGTTCTGCATCACTGTAAGTGTTGTGTTTCTGCATCACTGTAAGTGTTGTGTTCTGCATCACTGTAAGTGTTGTGTTCTGCATCACTGTAAGTGTTGTTTTTCTGCATCACTGTAAGTGTTGTGTTCTGCATCACTGTAAGTGTTGTGTTCTGCATCACTGTAAGTGTTGTGTTCTGCATCACTGTAAGTGTTGTGTTCTGCATCTCTGTAAGTGTTGTGTTCTGCATCACTGTAAGTGTTGTGTTCTGCATCACTGTAAGTGTTGTTTTTCTGCATCACTGTAAGTGTTGTGTTCTGCATCACTGTAAGTGTTGTGTTCTGCATCACTGTAAGTGTTGTGTTCCCGCATCACTGTAAGGTTGTGTTCTGCATCACTGTAAGTGTTGTGTTCCGCATCACTGTAAGTGTTTGTGTTCTGCATCACTGTAAGTGTTGTGTTCCGCATCACTGTAAGTGTTGTGTTCTGCATCACTGTAAGTGTTGTGTTCTGCATCACTGTAAGTGTTGTGTTCTGCATCACTGTAAGTGTTTGTGTTCTGCATCACTGTAAGTGTTGTGTTCTGCATCACTGTAAGTGTTGTGTTCTGCATCACTGTAAGTGTTGTGTTCTGCATCACTGTAAGTGTTGTGTTCTGCATCACTGTAAGTGTTGTGTTCTGCATCACTGTAAGTGTTGTGTTCTGCATCACTGTAAGTGTTGTGTTCTGCATCACTGTAAGTGTTGTGTTTCTGCATCACTGTAAGTGTTGTGTTCTGCATCACTGTAAGTGTTGTGTTCTGCATCACTGTAAGTGTTCAAACTTTTTTTGTTCTGTGTTTTAGCACCTATTATTATTTTTCATGTTTCATTGAACAAATTCACTCTTAGTGCAATTTTTAGGTTCCTCTTTTAGAGTAAATTGTTCTTTTGCTTGTTAAGTGTTGTTTAAGTTGCAGTTAAGAGTTAAAGTGTTCAATCAGTTCATTCCTTGATATATTTCTTTTCTTGTGTGTGTACTATTTTTTTTTTATTATTGCACTTTGACTCATTTTGCAATAATTCTTGTGCAAACATTGTGTTACCATTTAAAATTTTTCTTGCAGAGATTTTATGCAGTGTTGTGCAATACTTGTTGATTAGCAATTGTTAATTGCAATATTGCTAAAGTTTATTTCAGTGCAGTTTCATATGCTCTGTTCTGTGCATATTATTTTATTCTTTCTGTGCCATTTTATTTTATTTCAGTGAATTGTGTCCCAGTTTGTTTTATTTTGCACAAGCTTTATTGAGTCCATTTTAACATTTTTTATTGATTTATCATTTTATTGTGTATTTCTCTATTGCATTGAGAGCAAAGACAACTCACTGCGCCATTCATTCAATTTAAAGTAAAAGTTGAGCAAATTAGAGTTGAGTAAAGTACAAGTTCACTTCATTTTCAAAGTGTTGTTTGTTCAGTTGAGTATTTTCTTTGTGACTGTGAGTTTCTTTACTTACTGTGTGACCTGTCATTTTTTTTTAATTACTTATGCAGAATAGTTAAGCATTTTCTTCCCGTTTAAGCTTATTGTGTCATTCTCTCCATTTTTTCTTGGCTTTATGCCCTTCAGTAAGTTCACTGAGAAGATGTCCCAGTCACTTTTGAATGTTCACTTAGTGTATCATGCCAGTCAAAGTCAATATGAATCAGTCCACAGTACCAACATTCCTTTACTGACTGAAAGACAATACCTAGCCCTTGAGCAATGTGTTTGTTCTCTCAGCTTGTATCTGAGATTTGTTAAAGTGCTGCAAAATGTGAAGTTCAGATTAAGCTCCTATAGATCCGTGAATTGCTTATTAACATAGCCGAGCGGTCAGGCACTAGTAATACTGTCACTCCTGTCTGGACTCCAGCCACAATATCGCACCCGCAGGATAGTGCTGAGACTACTATCCTTGTGATGGCGACTTGTTCAAGTACTCGTTCCTTCCCAGCAGATGCTTTGAGAAGAACTTTACTTGCAACGAGTTATGCCATCTCTTGCTGATGCCACAAGCCGTTGCAGGAAGATGTTTCTGTGGCTAGTGTGCTCACTTGAGTGTTGTTGTTGTCCCTTGTGTTTCAGATTGTGATCCCATCCTAGTTGACAGTAATAAGTGCATTGTAAGAAGTTACTCCTCTAGTAACTTTCACGTGTTGCTAACGTTTGTAAGTGTAGTTTCTTTATAGCTGATACCTGTTCACTGTGGGGCGACTCAGATTGAATATCAGCATTGTTGACCGTGTTCATTTATTTTCTCCTGTGCTTGCAGTTTGAGATAGTAGATTCGTTCTCCCTTGCTCATATTGCGTGTTATAGCGTTAATTTTTTCAACCGGGGAGAGTCATCCACTCCACCGAGTTTGTGCATTCCTCCAGTAAGAAAGAACCGATCCCTTGTGTTCTGGTGATTCGATTCCTGCTCCAGGAAGATCTTATTCTCACTGTGAAGCCACCAGCACCCATTAGTGACTTTGTAATACGCCAAGAATTACTGTATCGAGCAGTCGAGTTGAGCACTCCTAGCAGAATTATTATTATTATAATCAAGGGGAAGCGCTAAACCCGGAGGATTATACAGGCACTAGTGAATGTAGCTGTATCTTTTGTAGATACTCGTTCAGATCGTCCATGTAGCTGTATCTTTTGTAGATACTCGTTCAGATCTCCCTTAGTCAAGGCATGTGTTAGCCATTGCAGAGGAATTCGATCCTCCCAGAGATGATAACCATTCTGCATACGTAAACCTTACCCTCGCAGAATTGGGTTTAAGTGTAAACAGCCTGTATAATTAGATGTCCGAGATGAATGAAATTATCAACTGTGTGTTTTGTTATTAGCTGATTAGTTTGTCAGAAATTTTCGTGTTCACGTTCCCTCCAAATTCTGAGAATTTAGCAATAGTCTGTGTGCACCAGATACCTTTGCTGTTAATTCACCTTGTATATATATTTATTCTTCCTCAGAATCCGTAGAGTGCATGAATACAGATCGATCGATCAATTCCATCCCATATTGTACAATAATTTGTTCTTATAGTTTGTAATGCATTACGTTAAAAAATCATTACGTTAAAAGTGATTACGTTAACACCCATTACGTAAAATTCATTTTGTTAACATCCAGTATGATACCATCCATTAGTTCTAAGTTATATATGAATTTGTTATTGTATAGAATCAGCCCAGAACCACCTGCCTGTTCAGCCTATAAGATAGTAGTGTATGTCGAGACGACATATGTAACATGACCGAGCTGTCAGCATAGTTGCTGATCCCTGTGTTGTATAGCATATCATAGTATCATCCATGTGCTTTATGTAGAAGACTCCTTTTAGGCCTGTGGCTGTTTGTGTGACGTCACGGGATACAGCTTGAGTGTGAGGCGAGCTAGCTACCTCGGCCTCAGTCGGCGCATAGACATCCAGGCTAGAACACGGCAAGGCTGGGCTCCATCTCCCATTACCACAGTCTGACAATATATTGTTACCATCCAACAAGTGTGTCTACCTTCAACCCTCGATATCTCCTTTTAAGAACCCCTACGACAAATATACTCTATCATTTCATAATTTTTTTTTTTTTTAAACTCAACATAGAGCAAGTTTGTGAGCACGGGTCTCGACAGTGAAAGGGTTAATACACTTGAACTTTTGGAAAGCTTCCAGACATAATGGAGAGACGCGAAGCTTAATGAGGATGTAGAGTGGCTCGTGGTGACTGTATTAGCGAATCAGGTGGGATGGAAGGGGGGGGAGGGCGCATAACAAGTTTTGGTCATAATCTGAAATGTCCGTATTAGTGAAATGCTGTAAAGTGGGGCCCTATTGTACAACTTATTTGCAGTATCCCTAACAAATCACAAATTACAGTGAACAAATAAGGTTTCATGGAACAGTTTTGTTCTATATATTAGCAAGCGAAAATTTACCAATCAATAAAATGGTTTACATATTTATAATTTGGAGCAGCCAAGCATAATAATCTGAATACAGTGGACCCCCACTTTACGATCACCTCCCAATGCGACCAATTATGCAAGTGTATTTATGTAAGTGCGTTTGTACGTGTATGTTTGGGGGTCTGAAATGGACTAATCTAATTCACAATATTCCTTATGGGAACAAATTCGTTCAGTACTGGCACCTGAACATACTTCTGGAATAAATAATATTGTAAACCGGGGGTCCACTCCACTGTACTTACATCCTAACATTATTTTTCAAATGGCAACTAAACAGCATCACTCAATAAATTGGTCACAAGAACACCATGGTTCTTCAGCTATTGCATGAGCTTAGTATATGATAAACTCAATGTAAACAAAACAAAACTTGAAATTTGTGAAATGTGTGTATACTGTATTTTGAATAATGCCAAGGTCAAAACAAATGAGGTCAGAAAAATGAGACAGAAGAAAGACAAATGAAAAAGACATGTATGACACAAGTTATGAGAGTGTTTGTGTTACTGATGACAGCATAAAACATTACACACAAGATACAGGATGACGCCAAAGCCACAATGTCGACATAATGAAAGAGAAATGTAATGATAACCTACAAATTAAATTAGTGAACATATAGCATTACCAAATTAAATATTACAAATCAGATAAATTCATTGCAATTTTTTCTAATTAGTAACAAATTTGACTTATTCACAAGCAACTCTCTGAAGAAAAGAATTTTTTCTCTTTAAACTTCATTTTCTCTCTGGAGCTCAACCTTATTTCTGATATACCTTTGACAGGTTTGAAGAGTTTTCCTACTCCTGTAGCCTAGCCCTGGGCTAGGCTTGGCTTTGCTTGTGCTTGCCTGGTAAACCAGGCTGTTACTACTGGCAGCACATTCCTTGAGACCTTGAATTTATATATCTAAATGGTTCTACAAAAATTCAGATGTAATAATAAAGCTAATACGAGCTTCAGACTTTCACCTATAGATGGTTACGTAGAAAACTTCCTATTGTCCTCAGTCACAAGAATCATTTTTACCTAACACAGATGACCACAACCTGATCAAAGATAATGAAGAATATCTACATATATATGTACAGTTATGAGAAGAAATATAAACTATCATGAACACTATTTATGTCAAAATCTCCTTTGGGTGGTATCTTGGAGACAAAGTTGATGATCCTCTTCTTGCGAGAATCCAGAGCTGCGTTCTCATGGCCAATATCACTGTAAAATATAAACACAACTAAACATCTGAAGGTACAGGGACATCACACACTGAATTACTGTAATTATATTAGACAACAAATGTTAAGGGAGAATATGAAATTATGAGATAATTCAGAAACAAATAAAATTTCAGAACAGTGGAACTTCGGTTGTTCAAGATATTGTTCCAGATATTGATTTGACAACCAAAATCGATGAAAACCAAAGCAATCTTTCCCATAAAGAATAATGTAAATAGAATTAATCCATTCTAGACCCCAAATGACAATATAATAATTTATTAAAAATGTACTACAACATAAAACTGTAAAAATGAATACTAAAAAAACTTTAACTGAAATACTGTACAGTAAATGAAAATTTAGGTGTCTCATACCTGTCAGAGGAGAGGTAATGGCATACTGGAAGCAGGAGGTGGAGGAGGGGGTATGTTACTGCTTAGAAGTCCCCCCCTTCTATTAACCCTTTGACTGTTTCGGTCTTACATATACGTTTTATGAACCAGCGTTTCGGACATATATATACTCAATAATTCTAGCAGCTTCAAATCAAGCAGGAGAAAGCTGGTAGGCCCACATGTGAGAGAATGGGTCTGTGTGGTCAGTGTGCACTGTATAAAAAAAATCCTGCAGCACGCAGTGCATAATGAGCAAAAAAAAAATCTGTGTTTTTGGATTAAAACGCCGACTTAGAGGTGTATTTTCATATAGCATTTATGGATGTATTCTCATTTTCTTGGTCTCATTTGGCAGAATGGAAAGCATGTTACAGAAACAGAGATGATTTTGATTAGTTTCATGATGAAAATGACCTTGAAATTGAGCTCAAAGTAGCGGAAATGTTCGATTTTTATCAATGTTCAAGAGTAAGCAAATCACACCACACGTCCAATACACACCAACTGGGGAGTCTGATATTCTTTCACTGGTGCACTGATATTATTTATACCATTTTTACAATAATGCAGTAGACTGTATAACAGTAAGTCTTCTATTTTTTGTGAATAAAAAATCAAAATACGTAGATAGCAAGAATACTATAAGAGGGGCCTGGAGATGTGATTAATGAACAGAGAATTTGTTATTTTAGCCCAAAGAATGTCTGCAATGTTTATTCTGGAGCCTATTTTGAAAATGGAATCTTTTTTTAATTTGCCTGAAATTGGCTAAATTGCCAATTTCTAACCACTTTATTGTGCAGTTGAAAACGGTAAATGGGCAGTTTCTTGTACTCAACTGATAGAAAAGAATTGAGTTCTAAACAACTAGCTACGAGTTTGGTCGACTGGAACAATGGAATTGGCCGAAAATAGGTTTCAAAGTCAGCAAAATCGCTGATGCGTATATATCGCCAAGATCGCTAACTTCACGCTAGTGTAATTCCGTAAGTTTTAGATCCAATTTCGTACTTTTGGTGTCGTTACCATCGGGAAAAGATTCTCCATCATTTCATAAGAAAAAACAGTTTTTTTTTTCTTCCAAAAAATTTTCGACATAGAATGACAGTTTCAGAAAGGGGCTTGTGACAGTCAAAGGGTTAAACCTTTCAGGGTCCAGAGGCCAAATTTCAAAGTGTGCACCAGTGTCCAAGAATTTTCAAAAAATAATTTTGTTATTTTTCTTTTTTTTTCTGAAGGTAATAAAACAAAAAGTAAGAAATTTGATGGAAAACTGACAAAACTATGCTCTCGCGAATTTTGATGTGTCAGCAATATTTACACATTGGCAATTTTGCCGACTTTGACTCCCATTTTAGGCCAATTACATTATTCCAGTCGACCAAATTCTTAGCTGTTTCACTAGTATTACTTCTATCGATTGAGCAGAAGAAATCACCAAGTAAACTGTTTCAACTACAAAATCAAGTGATCAGAAATTGGTAATTTGGCCAATTTAATGCAAAGTTCAAAATATTCCAATTTCAAAATAGGGTCCAGAATAAACAATGCAGGCATTCCTGGCACTAAACTAACATTTCCTCTTTTCATTAGTTATGTTTTTCAGGCTTTACAAATGGATTCCATTTTTATTTTTTATTCACATAATGAATTTTTATTCAAACCAAAAAATAGAAGATTTACTGTTATGCAATATTGTAATAATTGTATAAATAATATCACCACATTTGTGAATGTATATTAGACCCACCAGCTGGCATGTATTAGACTTGTGAGGTCATTTGTTTACTCTTGAACATCGGCAAAAATTTAACATTTCCGCTACTTTGAGCTCAGTTTCAAGCCATTTCCAGTACTAAAACCAATCAAAATCATCTCTATTTCTGTAATATATCTTCCATTCTATCAAATGAGACCAAGAAATTGCAAATACAACTATAAAAAACATATGAAAAAACACCGCAAAGTTGCTGTTTTAATCGAAAATTACGTTTTTTTTTCTCTCATTATGCGCTATGTGCTGCAGGATTTGTTTTATGTGGTGCACACATACCACATAGGTGTATTCTCTCATATCTAGGCCAAAATTTACCATTCACAGCTTATCAGAGTGAGCTGAGCTCATGTTGTAGATCTACGGTTTGGACCCTCAACGTAAAGCCGTAGATCTATCGGCACGGACCCTCAAAGGGTTAATGTTAGGAAACTGACCTTCTGGTGTTGTTTCTTTCTTTGTCTCTTTTCACCACTAACACCTTGTTCTGGCTCACTGATTCTATGTCTCACTAAAAACCTGTCCAATGAGATATATTTCAGGCTCCAATTTAACACTTGTCAAAACTGAGACATTACACAGTCACTGTGCATGTTAGAGAGATGGATGGCCACTGCTTGTCTGGACGATGTTTTTCAGCAAACTCCTGCACTTCATGCCATTTAGCACATGTTTCCTTGACAAGTGCAATAGGCACATCATCCCTTCCCTTCTTGTCCTCTGATGACAACTCCTTCAATGCAATCTGTTGCTGCTCCTGAAGGTCTACAAGTTCTTCCATGGTGAGTTCAGTTCTATGCTCCTTCACATCATCTTCAGTTACCTCCAGGCCCAAGGTTTTTCCCAAGGGCACAATATCCTCTAATGGCTCAGGCTCATCTTCAAAGCCTTCAAAATCCCTGGCTGCCACTAAGTCAGGCCACAATTTCTTCCATGCTATGGTTATAGAAGACACATTTTCCCCATGCTTTGTCTGTAAGCCTCAAGCACGTGAGAAAAAATGTTTTAATTGTTTTTCAAAATCTGTTAAGGGGTTAACAAAATTGAAAACCAGTGTGACCACACCATGTGACCAGGTGCATTGATATTTGTTGTCTCAGTGAAGTGATACTCGTTCTTTGTCTCTGTGGCATCAAGGAACCTCAATGAAGGTTCCTTGATGCCAATGAGGAATTCAGAATGAAAAGAATTTGACCTACCCTCCATTTCCTTGGATCTAACCTGATTGCTTCTCATTCCCCCAGACAATGGATGGCCTCTACAGGTCATACAGGACTCATCTTGTTAACCCTTAAACTGTCCAAATGTAGATATGTGTTCACCTGTGTGGCACTCCGAATGCGTATTTTGAATTTTTTTTTTTTAAATTGAAGAGGGCAATTTTCTGTGTGGTACAAGACCAAAAAACATTTTTAGGACCAGTACTTACGGAGATATAAGACCGCAAAGTTGGCTCTGGATGCTTACCTGACGGCAACATCCAGTCCTGCGGTTTGCGTAAGTGTTCCTGATTTACCTTTTTTTCTCATTTTTATTTTAACTGATATAATTTTTATGTTCTGATAATTACAATTTATAATGTTCTTGTGATTTCATAGCCAATCTTTGTTCTGACACTAATATTATGTACTGAAATAGTACATAATATTAGTGACATAAAAGGGGAGTGTTAACCCCTTGGCTGTTGCAATCCCAAATCCTGAGGTGTCTCCTTGTGTTGCACATTGAACAAATGTGACACCACCTATGACTGCTGCCTATGGTTTATAAGCTCATTCTCCGCACGTATGCCGTATTTATTCAAGACTGATGGACTGACCACATCGACTCAAGGTTGAGGGACTGATTACCTCATTCTCCTCCTGTTCTTCAAGATTCTCCTTTGTATGGACTGATGAAGCCACTGTGTGGCAAAACGTTTCCTCAATAAAGATACCCAAGAGTTGCACATGTGTCTAATTCATCAACATGTTGGTTCTCTGCACCATTGATCTACAAAGATGTTGTGCTGTTGCTGTTGGGTGTATAAGGGCCACTGAGAGCATAAGCCATCTATAATGGTGGTGAAGGCTGCAGCTGAGGCAGTGGTGTTTTCTGTACCCCTACATAGGAGTTAGAAGAATCTTGGAATCACTGAAGCTCCGACCACACAACACCACACACGGCTACCACCCTCTACTACCATCACAAGCACCCTCTACCACCATCACTGCCACCCTCTACCACCATTACTACCACCATCACTACCACCACCATTTTCGTATTTTTCTACAAACCTTTTCTTGAATTATATTATGTTTCTCCCATTCTTTACCAAAGGGCTGGCACTAGAAGCTTTCTTTGGGCCCATTGTGGCTTATTTAGCAGTCACACACAATAAACTATTTCCAAAAACAATGATTATGAAATTTTTGTATGATCTGGCAGGATATGTTCATTCACCGAGAAACAACGCTACGAGAAACAACGCTACACTGGCTGAGAATGCGTGAGGGAGGCAGCTTTGTCTGTGCGCTGGGCATTGGACAGGTTCTGTACGACCGACAAAAACAGAGGTAACAGACAAAAACGAAAGCCAAAAAGCGACGAAAAAAGTCAGCCAAAACCGAAATCGGCGATAACAGAGATCAACGAAAACAGAGGGTCCACTGTATTGTGAATTATTTTTTCATGGGAAGTGCTAAACTTGTAGGGATCATTCAGCAGCACTTGGTCATGGGAAGCAATCAGGTTTACTCCAAGGAAAAGGAGAGCTCCAGTTCCTTAGATCAAGAACCCTTCTACAAGCAAGCAATGCCAGTGCCAACACTCTTTAAGACAGGTGGGGATGTTGCAGTTCAGAAGGTCATGTGAATTGTGATGTTTGTTCACATTTGGTAAACAGCTGTAGAATAACCAATGATGAATATATACACCTTTTTTATTTTGGTCACTCCGCCTTGACAAGAAACAGCCAATGTATCAGCAAAACATTAAGACACCAAATAATGCAGCATTTCAAGCTCAAAGAGGCAACTTAGATCAATGTTGCCTCTCGCAACAATGAGTATTTAATCTTGGATACAGGAAAACTGTCTCAACAATTGGTACTATTTTAACCCTTCGACTGTCGCGGCCGTATATATACGTCTTACGAGGTACCGTGTTTGACGTATATATACTCATAAATTCTTGCGGCTTCAAACCAAGCAGGAGAAAGCTGGTAGGCCCACATGTGAGAGAATGGGTCTGTGTGGTCAGTGTGCACCATATAAAAAAAATCCTGGAGCATGCAGTGCATAATGAGAAAAAAAAAACTCTGACCGTCTTTTTTAATTAATATGCCAGACTTTGTGGTCTATTTTCGTGTAGTATTAATGGTTGTATTCTCGTTTTCTTGGTCTCATTTGATAGAATGGAAAACATATTATAGAAATAGAGGTGATTTTGATTGATTTTACTACAAAAAGAACCTAGAAATGGAGCTCAAAGTAGGGGAAATGTTTGATTTTTGCCAATGTTCAAAAGTAAACAAATGATGCCATTGTCCAATAAATGTCCAACTAGCCATTCTAATATGCAGTCATGAATGGGTTGATGTTATTTGTACAATTATTACAGTATTGCAGTAGTCTGCATAATAGTAAGTCTTCTATTTTTTGTTTGAATAAAAATTCAAAATAGAAAGCAAGAGTAATATCAGAGAGGCCTGGAGACATGACTGATGAACAAAGAAAATGTTATTTTAGAGCCAGGAATGTCTGCATTGTTCATTCTGGACCTTATTTTGAAATTGTCATATTTTTTAGTTTTCGTGAAATTGGCCAAATTGCAAATTTCTGACCACATTATTAGGTAGTTCATATTGGTAAATGGGCAGTTTCTTGTACTCAATCGATAGAAAAAATGGAGTTCTAAAGAAATAGCTATGAGTTTGGGCGACTGGAACAGTGGAATTAGCCGAAAATAGGGCTCAAAGTGGGCAAAATCGCCGATTTGTAAACAGCGCCGAGGTCGCTAACTTCACGAGAGCATAATTCCGTCAGTTTTCCATCAAATGTCGTTTTTTTGGTGTCATTACAATCGGGAAAAGATTCTCTATCATTTCATAAGAAAAAATAATTTTTTTTTTTTAAATTTTGCGACACCAGGAGACACCTCAGGATTGGGGGTTGCGACAGTCAAAGGGTTAAATAAGTTTGTTTATTGCTATACTGTATTAGACTATTCATATACGTACTTAGTCACACATGAATGGTTTACATTAATTTGTACATTTACAGTACAGTACTGTACACATACAATGATGAAACAATACAACTAAAGTATCAACCACCACCATCACTTACCTTTCAGATAATCTGAATGTCTTCTGTATGAATTTGGAGAGATCCTCAAGAATGGGCTGCTGGTGTAGGGCAATGAACTGCTCCCGGCATATCTGTGGACAAAGGTTTTCCTCCTCAGCTTAAATGTAAAACTAAGTTTCTTAATCATGCACAATTTTCTTAAGTGCAGTTATCCTGTTCTTTCTAGTATTCAATAAACAATAATAAATCAAGCATATATATAGGACTAGGTAGAGGCTGATCATATTAGGTAATCTAATGTACTACTGTTTACGATCCATCATCTCATGACACAAATTTTCAAACAAATGCTTCCCTCCCTCTCCATCAGGTTTCATTTCTTCCTGACACACCTGCAAAGCAAACAACCACTCCCCCCATATAATACAAAAGCAATTCAACTGAAGAAGGAAGGATGGGAGCTTACTAAAGCTGGCAATGAAGTCTGTTAAGTGTTGATCGAATGATCTGAAGAAGTGTTCTCAGTGGAAACTGTGAAAATACCAAAAAACCAAGGGACAGACAGGGTACACCGACAAGTACTGGAAGGTATTCACACAACATTGAAAGAGGTAAAAGAACTTTTGATGAAGCTGGATACATCAAAGACAATGGGACTTGACAGGGCGTCATCATGTATTCTGTGAGAAACAGCGTAACAGAGACAATTTCTATGAAACGAAACTTAAAGCAAGATAAAATTATCTGTCACTTTTAGTACATTTCAAGTGATAAAACTGCATAGCAAATGGTATATAAGTGGCATCGGCTGATAACCAGCCACACGTAATTCTTCCCGTCATCAAGTAATTGCAGTTTGCTTACAGATTCCTTCCTTCCTTCCTTCCTACGACACACAAAATTCTCCAGAAAAGTTTGTGGTCCACTAAGGCCACATAAACAATATCACTGTCGCTCTGTACAACAAGGAGGATGAACAAATAATTGAGGGAAAGATACAAAATTTCTAAGTCGCCTTTCATCTTATTTTAAATGAAAGGTTGTCCGGTATGATCTTAACTAGGGTGCTGTAGTTGGTTCTTGGTTGCTTTAAGGCCACCGTATCTTTTTTTTTTAACACAACGGCCAATTCCCACTAAGGCAGGGTGGCCCGAAAAAGAAAAACTTTCATCATCATTCACTCCATCATTGTTTTGCCAGAAGGGTGCTTTACACTACAGTTATAAAACTGCAACATTAACACCCCTCCTTCAGAGTGCAGACACTGTACTTCCCATCTCCAGGACTTAAGTCCGGCTTGCTGGTTACCCTGAATCCCTTCATAAATGTTACCTTACACACACTCCAACAGCACGTCAAGTATTAACCCGTTCAGTGTCCCCGGCCCTCTCAAAGACTTGGCCTCAGGGTCGCCCAAATTTTAAAAAAAAAATAATTTTTTTCTTATAAAAAGATAGAGAATCTTTTCCCGATCAAAATGACACCAAAAGTATGAAATTTGATGGAAAACTTATGGAATTATGCTCTCGCGAAGTTAGCGGTCTCGACGATGCTTACTCATCGGCGATTTCGCCCACTTTGAGCCCTATTTTCAGCCAATTCCAGTGTACTAGTCAACAAAAATCATAACTATTTCGCTAGAACTCCACTTTTTCTATAGAATGAGTACAAGAAACCACCCATTTACTGATTTCAACTATCCAATACAGTGGTCAGAATTTAGCAATTTTGCCAATTTCACACAAATTTCAAAAGATGCCAATTTCCAAATAGGGTCCAGAATAAACAAAACATTCCTGGCACTAAAATAACATTTCCTCCGTTCATTAGTCACGTTCCCATGCCCCTCTTACATTCTTTTGCTTTCCACATTGAATTTTTATTCTCACAAAAAATAAAAGATTTACTGTTATGCAGACTACTGCATTAGTGTAAAAAATGGTATAAATAATATCAGCGCACTCGTGAAAGAATATTAGACTCACCAGTTGACGTGTATTGGACGCTTAGCATGATTTGTTTACTTTTGAACTTTGGCAAAAATAAAAAATTTCTGCTACTTTGAGCTCAATTTCAAGGTACTTTTCATTGTAAAACCAGTCAAAATCATCTCAATTTCTGTAATATGTCTTCCATTCTATCAAATGAGACCAGGAAAACTAGAATACAACAATAAATACCATAGGAAAATACAGTGCAAAGTCGTTGTTTTAACCCAAAAACATGGTCATTTTTTTTTTCTCATTACGCACTATGTGCTGCAGGTTTTTTTATACTGTGCACACTGACCCCATAGACCCATTCTTTCATATGTAGGCCTACCAACTTTCTCTCACTAGATTTGAGGGCGCTAGAATTTAGGCGCACTAGTATGTCAAAAACCCTGGTGCGCAGGCCGTACTAGTACGTCCGAAACCCTGAAAGGGTTAAAAACCATTTGTCTACATTCACTCTTGTCAAATACGCTCATGCATGCTTGCTGGAAGTCCAAGCCCCTCGCACACAAAACCTCCTTTACCCTTTCCCTCCAACCTTTCCGATGGTGACCTCTACCCCACCTTCCCTTTACTACAGATTTATACTCTCGAAGTCATTCTGTTTTGTTCCACCTCAACAACCCTTCCTCAGCCCTCTGGATAATAGTTTTGGAAATCCCACATCTCCTCCTAATTTCCAAACTATGAATTCTCTGCATTATATTCACACCACACACATTGCCCTCAGACATAACATCTCCACTGCCTCATACATTCCCCTCTTTGCTTCCACAGATAAAGTTCTTTGTCTCCATAGACTCCTAAGTGCACTGCTCACCCTTTTCCCCTCATCAATTCTATGATTCACCTCATCCTTCATAGACCCATCTGCTGACACGTCCATTCCTAAATATCCGAATACATTCACCTCCTCCTCCATGCTCTCTCCCTCCAATTTGATATCCAATCTTTTGTCACCTAATCTTTTTATCCTCATCACCTTGCTCTTTCCTATACTCACTTTTAATTTTCTTCTTTTACATACCCTACCAAATTCATCCACCAACCTCTGCAACTTCTCTTCAGAATTTCCCAAAAGCACAGTGTCATCAGCAAAGAACAACTGTGACACCTCCCATTTTGTGTTTGAGTCTTTATCTTTTAACTCCACACCTCTTGCAAAGACTCTAGCATTCACTTCTTTTCAACCCCATCTATAAATATATTGAACAACCACGGTGACATCACACATCCTTGTCTTAGGCCTGCTTTTACTGGGAAATAATCTCCCTCTCTCCTACATACCTGAGCCTCATTATCCTCGTAAAAACTCTTCACTGCTTTCAGCAACCAACCTCCTATACCATACACCTGCAATATTTGCCACATTGCTCCCCCTATCTAACCCATCATATGCCTTTTCCAAATCCATAAATGCCACAAAAACCTCTTTAGCCTTATCTAAATATTGTTCACCTATATGTTTCACTGTAAACACTTGGTCTACACCCCCCCTATCATTCCTAAAGCCTCCTTGCTCATCTGCTATCCTACTCTCCATCTTATTCTACATTTTTTTCTATAACAACTCTACCATACACTTTACCAGGTATACTCAACAGACTTATGGATAAAAATGCACTGGAAAACGTACAAAGGAGGATGACAAAGTTGATCCCATGTATCAGAAATCTTCCCTATGAGTAAAGACTGAGGACCTGAATCTGCACTCTCTAGAAAGGCGTAGAATTACGGGGGACATGATTGAGGTGTATAAATGGAAAACAGGAATTAATAAAGGGGATGTAAATAGCATGTTAAAAATATCTAACATAGACAGAACTGGCAGCAATGGCTTTAAATTGGAAAAATTCAGATTCAGTAAGGATATAGGAAAGCACTGGTTTTAAAAATATGTTGGATAAATAAATGAGTGGGTGTGGGTGGGTGTGAGTTTGACCTGACTAGCTTATGCTACTAGGTTGGATGCACTGCTCCTCCCTTAACCCTTTGACTGTTTTGGTAGTTCTGTGGACCCCCGGTATTTGATGGCATCGGTATTCGATAAATCCGGTATTCGATGCATTATTTTTATTTATTATTTATTATCACACTGGCCGATTCCCACCAAGGCAGGGTGACCCGAAAAAGAAAAACTTTCACCATCATTCACTCCATCACTGTCTTGCCAGAAGGGTGCTTTACACTACAGTTTTTAAACTGCAACATTAACATCCCTCCTTCAGAGTGTAGGCACTGTACTTCCCATCTCCAGGACTCAAGTCCGGCCTGCCGGTTTCCCTGAACCCCTTCATAAATGTTACTTTGCTCACACTCCAACAGCACGTCAAGTATTAAAAACCATTTGTCTCCATTCACTCCTATCAAACACGCTCACACATGCCTGCTGGAAGTCCAAGCCCTTCGCACACAAAACCTCCTTTACCCCCTCCCTCCAACCTTTCCTAGGCCGACCCCTACCCCGCCTTCCTTCCACTACAGACTGATACACTCTTGAAGTCATTCTGTTTCGCTCCATTCTCTCTACATGTCCGAACCACCTCAACAACCCTTCCCAAGCCCTCTGGACAACAGTTTTGGTAATCCCGCACCTCCTCCTAACTTCCAAACTACGAATTATCTGCATTATATTCACACCACACATTGCCCTCAGACATGACATCTCCACTGCCTCCAGCCTTCTCCTCGCTGCAACATTCATCACCCATGCTTCACACCCACATAAGAGCGTTGGTAAAACTATACTCTCATACATTCCCCACTTTGCCTCCAAGGACAAAGTTCTTTGTCTCCACAGACTCCTAAGTGCACCACTCACCCTTTTCCCCTCATCAATTCTACGATTCACCTCATCTTTCATAGACCCATCCGCTGACACGTCCACTCCCAAATATCTGAATACATTCACCTCCTCCATACTCTCTCCCTCCAATCTGATATCCAATCTTTCATCACCTAATCTTTTTGTTATCCTCATAACCTTACTGTTTCCTATATTCACTTTTAATTTTCTTCTTTTGCATACCCTACCAAATTCATCCACCAATCTCTGCAACTTCTCTTCAGAATCTCCCAAGAGCACAGTGTCATCAGCAAAGAGCAACTGTGACAACTCCCACTTTGTGTGTGATTCT